CTGAGGTTTTATTTTTTCTAATTTATGTTGAACTCGCTTTTAGAACTAGGACAAAGGGCTTTACACAACGTATTTTAAGACCACTTTACCTGAGCACACACCTGGTTTCTTGAATTATTCCAGCTCCCCCCTCACCACCACCATCTATTAACAAATTGCTAGTTTAACAACTGCCCTAGTAATAGTTCACTTGTATTTCAAATCCACTTTTGACCTAAGGGCAATAATACAAAAACACTGGGCTAAAAGTATCTTGTTATTCCAAATGTTATCGATCTATACTTTTTATTCTATCCTTAAAAATGGCAGAGTATATTCTAGCACAGTTTCATTTCCGGACCCCATCAAGTCATTCCCTATTTCTCTCAAAGTTTATCTTTAAAGTTACTCCCTTATTCCCTCCCCTTGCTGTGCGGAGTTACCTGCCCACGGGAACAACAGCGAACGTACAAACAGGGATCCGGTTTCGTTTTCAATCACAACGAATTATTCAACTCTCGGATAAATTTGTAATTCCAGCCCTCCAATGTCAAGGTCGCCCAGACAAGAACACGAGTCGTGTTACCGATTATCATGACAAGACCGGGATCCGGCAATTGCCAGGTAATTTACGCGGACGGGGGAAAAATCTGGCAACAAAAGGGTTTAAATGGTGGAGGTAGACGCAACATAAGGTGCCGCCAATAGCCGAACCCTGGGTGGGGGGGGGGCAGGGTGGGGGAAGGGGGTTGTTAGGTCATTACCAACACGAGAACTTACTTGTAATTAATGCCACAAGGTAGACGCTTACATTTCCAAACTATTCACCTACATCTTAGGAAATAAACGCTTACATCTTAAGGGTTAAAGGCTATCTAAGACGATGAACTCCTAGATCTTAGAGGAAATGGGGTCAGCGCCAGAGTCGATTTTTTAATCGGGATCTATGCAAGGGTCAAATTATTTAATCATTATCTATGCAAGGTTCAAATTATTTAATTGTTATCCATGCAAGGGTCAAATTATTCAATCATTATCTATGCAAGGGTTAAATTATTCAATCACTATCTATGCAAGGGTTAAACGAATGCAACATGCAGACCCCGCTGTGCCCATACAAGACTATCGGAAAAATGGGAGTTCCAAAGTTTGTCTGGTGAAGACCTTTTGTCGAAACAGCCCCAATGGTCCAGGCTCGGAAACCAAACCAGCTCCAGTGGCAATCATCACAGAACAGATTTGTTTAAAGATTTGATAACACAACAATGTAAACTTGGCACGCGAAGAATGTTGTTTATGTTACCATGGCGATGTGAACAAAAAATAGCTGACCTTTCGGCGAATGTCAGACAGATCAAATTTCGACCACTAAGGTGATAACTGGTGTACCTTTGATAGTCTGACCCTGATACCTGGGCTGGACAGAGTGCTGCCCCCCCCCCCCCCCCCCCCCCCTAGGGACAAGTTGAACGGGTACAGATTGAATCTTCTGACAGTTGTTTCTTTAACGTATTCAGACTGTACTGGGTCAAAGGTCACTTGGGGGGGGGGGGGGGGTCGGGGAAGGGGCGGATGTGGGTCCAATACATTAGACACTTTTGTAATGCAAATGTACAGAGAGGTGTGGTTATATTGGGAGCATGTACCAGGAACACCAACAGCAATACAAAAGCAATGAACAGCGACAGCAATACAACAGCAACAGCAATACAACAGCATCACCACACCCAAACAAACACCAACACAACAACACCAGCATTACACCAACACTTCACCAACCCCACCAAGGCCAACGGGACAGGTTCTCCCTTCTGTCCCGATACATCACGTGACTTTAACCAGAAAGACACGTCAGACACGCTCCAGGGAAATCATCGATAGAGAAATTCGATCAACCATTTGATTTACCTGGGTGGAACAGGTGCTAGACACAGGTAAATAGCTGCTGCTGTTTCTGGCTCTAGTTCCAAGACTCCAAGTGTTGATCGAATAACGCAGGCACATTTTTTAGCCTTAATTATCTGTAACATGCCGTGTATTCTGGTGGCTAAATCAGTGAAGTGGAAAATATCAGACAGTAAATAGACAGGTAACTTGGAGTGGAGAGTATAGGCATGAGGTAAATAGACAGGTATCTTGGAGTGGAGAGTAGTGGCATGCTGTAAATACACAGGTATCTTGATAAAGGGCTGGTTATTGGGGTGAGTGGAAATATGTAGCTTAGTTGTGTGTGGTGTGATGTTTTAGTATGTGTTATGATACGTATTGTGTGGTGTGTAGCGTGCTCGTGCTCTGTGCTGTGTGTGTATATTTTCGTCACCGTGTACCCAAAATAATCTAGCTGTCCATAGTCTCCCCAGGACTAGTACTCATCCACGTGTAATGTTAAAAACAACAACAACAAAAATAAACAGCGTTTCAAGTCGAATGCAGTCAGCCAAAAATACCAAAGGCCAAAGGTTGTTACTCGAGTAATCTCCCCTCACAGGTGTAGTCTTTGTGGTGTTATCTACCATTGCTAATTAAGACCGAGTTAATAATATTATGGGCGGGCTTAAGTCGGCAGCAATTAATTAGCACAAAAATAACTCGCGATACGGCATTGTAAACAGAATTGTTAGGTCCAATCGGGCCCAGCGTATTTATTAGTGGATCAATGGGGTCTTAAATACAGGTCGAGAAAGGGGGCTCTTATTCAAGGTCATGGGACCTTTGTTGTAGGTCTAAGGGAGCTTTCTGTAGGCCTAGATGACCTTATAGATCTAGAGAACCCATTTTGTCAAAGAACGCTTGTTATTGGTCGGGAGGGGGGGGCGCTTGCTATAAGTCTAGGGAGGACTTTAGATGGTTTAACGGACTTTAGATATCGGTCTAGGGGCCCTTGCTATAGGTCTAGGGGGCCCTTGCTATAGGTCTAGGGGGGCCTTGTTATTGGTCTAGGGCCCTTGCTAGGGAAGCTAAAGTTAAACATTCGTCCCTAGCGGAAACAACGGGTGTATTTGACAGTCATATATTTCTACACACAGCATGTAGTGCTATGTCGGCTGTGCTAGGTCGGATATAAATATATATTTTAGATCAAACAATCCAAAACCTGGGAACTGTTCTAGAGCAGGAATCTGGGTCGCTGGACTGACCACCTGACGTTGAAAACTGGACACTCCATGTCCCAGCCATGAACACATACGCCAGATGTACATAAGGTGGTCAGTGTTTTACAACAGATTTCAACTTCTCGGTCTGTGTGTAAACAATAAATCAACTTCCTTTTTTTAATCTACCACCAACGTTTAAATTAAATAAATATTTATGTGTCAACAGGGTGGTATTTATAGGGTGTGCTGGTGTAAACTAGGACGCCCGGGCCACTCGGCTCCAAAGTTCCTCAGTTAACCAGAGTTATGGAACCTTTTTCTACACTAAATCTTCCAAGGTTTAAAAAAAAGGCGAGTCGGGTGTAGGCCTATAGGATTTCAAGGCAAGGAGTGATAGAGGATGGGTAAAGTACTAATGGGGTGGGGTGGGGGGGGGCTGTCAGTAAACGGTAGTGGGGGTGTGTTTTCGTTAGTGGGCCAGGGATTACAGTTTGACTTGTGTATGGTATGTACGTGCAATACAAATACAAATATAATTAAATTTGATATAAAATAAAACTAGAATGATCTCCCCTAAACCTTCTCGTATATAACAGTAGTGGTTGGGTGGGATGCCAATTCTAGTGCAATAGGGCTATAGACATATACAGGATAGGGAGATGCACACAGAGGCGTAAAGTTCTTTATCTTTATGAAGATTTTATCAAAATCGTAGATCCGTATCAACTTTTAAGCGATTTCCGATAACCGGAAGTGGTACTTTTTCTACTTTGAATTTTTCAAAAGCCTATAACTTGAGTACTATTTCAGGTAGATAAATGAAATTTCACATGTAAGTAAGAGATCTAATTCTCTACCTTCTGTCACATTTTGAGTGATTTCCGTTGACCGGAAGTATTAATTTTCGCTATTTCCGATTTCTCAAAAACGAATGTAAATTTATAAAGTACTAATAATATTCCGCACTATTATGCACATTTTATTTGGCGTTCACTGGTGTGCAATTCTTTTTTTCTACGAGATTTTATTCTATTTTAAAAAGTTTAAGTATTTAAAATGGAGTAAAATTCATGTTTATATCCCGAGTTCCCATCCCCTGTTTTTTATATAAGAATATTCGAGAAAGTTTAGGGGAGATCGCTCCCGGTTTATTTGAAATAGGAAATAGAGTATCCCTTCCTGTTCATCCGAGATCGCTCAAAAGTTGATAGGTACCTATGTGTTTATCGATAAGAATTGGATATAATTTTTTATATATGAAATTTTGTTAACCAACAGACAGATATAAACAAAAAATTGCAAAGTTTTCCAGACTAAGGATGGTGTAAAACGTACAGATTTGTTAAAATATCGATTTCGATTTATTTATTTTTTGCCCGATTACAATACTTCTACTACGTATATGAGGAAGTAGGTATACCTGTACATTTATTCCGTCAAGCCGTCAAGCTAATTAGATGTTTTGAACTTGCATAACGGATCGAAAAGATAAGTTTTGTCACAACACTAAAATTAAACAAGTATAAAACACTTCTGAATGCTTCGGAAAAGAATGTGTTTGGAAAATTTGAGCGAAATCGCGGCATTAGACGCGGATCAAAACTGGGTTGCAAGGTCGCACTAACAGAACAGATATTGTTAAATGAATAAAAGCTTATAACAAGAAGGACGTTTATATCGGGACATGTTACCTCAAAACTTCGCGGTCGGCGGAGCAGGGTGGTAATTGTAAACACGCCGCAGTAATTTCATAAATGTATAATAATTTTAAACAAGTCATTTCACATGACCGTGCACAAAAAATACACGCTGCATAAGACAGAAAAACGACAGAAAAACACCAACAGAAAACACCAACACGACTGAATCTACAATCCCAACATATACCAACATTTACACAACACTGCCGTCTGCTCTGATACTTACATCGTCTGCACCTAAATCCATGTCCGAACTCTCCTCCACGTCGTCATGACGTACATCCTGAACAGATTCCGTTTCACTAGGACCGTCTTCTGGCCGGTCCACGACTGGACACTGACCATCAACGTCGTTACGGGAACCACGTGACAGCTGCTTGTCAGACCCGTGTTGTGACAGGGACTGTCTGGTCAGTTTGTTCCAGTCGATGTAGCCGGTGTAGTCGCCGTGGTCAGCCGTCAGTGACGTCACTTCCTCCTCCTCGCTGCTGGCGTCGAACTCCGGGGGCGGGGGGATGGTGAAGTTGTCCTCAAACCTCCAGGACACGCCCTCCCCCGGGCAGCACGTGTTGTTGTTGGTTATGTCATCGTGTGTCAGGTGAACTTTGACACCTGGGTCAGGTGACCCGGAGAGATCAGAATCGCTAAGGTTTCTGTTGGTAATGTGGTGCTGACCTGAGGCGACTGGCCGGCCACTGGCCTGCTCCTCCGAGTGACACCTGCAGGCCCTCTTCACCTCCTCGTAGATCTCGGTCAGCAGCTGGAACCTCCGCATGTTCAACTCGTGGCCCAGTTTAGGAGACGGGGGCGACACTCCGTGGTTCGGAGCCGGGGATCTTTTTGTTGCGTACGACTCCCGGAGCTGGAGCAGACGCAGCTGATACGGCACGGAGGTCTCCGGCTCCTGATGATGGTGGTGATGGTGAGAGTGGTGGTGCCGGGGATGGTAGCACTGGTGGACGGGCTTCAGCTGGTGGTGGTGACGGTGGCGATGTCGGCTGTGTTTCCTCCCCTCCCCGCAGTCGTCTTCCCTCTTCTGCTTCCTCCTGTCTTTGGTCGGGGTCTGGATCTCTGACCCGGATGTTTCCGTGGCCTTGACCTTAAGACGGACGTGTCCACGTGACGCCCGTCTCTGCTCCTCGTGTCGGGCGCTCTGACGCTGTTCTTGCTGGATGATTCTCTCCAGAAGCTCGTCCGCCTTGTCTAACTGACCGTCAATTAAATCTGCCTGACCATCAAACATGTCTGACTGACTGCCAATCAAATTTGCCTGATCATCTATCATGTCTATCTGACCGTCATCTGAATATGACGGACCATCAACCATATCTAACTGACCATCCAGCTTGTCGAACTGACCATTACCTTTGGTCAGGTGAGCTGAAGAAGGATGTAAAACAAGTCCTTCAAACAGATGCTCAGCATCAGTAAATTCGTTAACTGTGTCTTGGTCAATACACGGCATCACATGGTCAACACACAACTCACTGTCTGACCTCAGGTCATCGAACACTGACATCAGATCCCGTGTCATATGACACATGTCACCTGACATCAAATCTCGTGTCACATGACACATGTCACCTGAAACCAAACCCTGTACGTCTGCACTAAAGACTTCAGCCTCGATGGACGGGATATCGGCCACAATTTCAGCTTCCACGGATGACATGGACGTATCGTCCAGCTGTCCATTCTTGGAGCTGTCCATCGATTTGTCGAATGTTGAAGACAAATCTCCAACAGAAATGCTTTGCTCAATTTCATTCTGTGAGGAAACAAATTTTAACACTCGATTGTACATGTACATCAACTAGAATGTATCGGAGTATTTTTAAAACATTGGTCAACTTTAGGGTCAAATAAACCGACAGACTGAACGTAACTATGCCATCTCCATGGTACCCACATCCCCTGGGGACCCACTAGTCAAACCCCCACACCCCACCCTCGTCTAGTACTCACCTTCACAAGTTGTATAAATCTGTGTAGTGTGGTGTACCCACCTCCCCCCGGGGGTCCAGCCCCCCCCCCCTTCCCCGTCTAGTACTCACCTTCACAAGTTATATAAATATGTATAGTCTGGTGTACCCAACTCCTCCGTGGACCCACCCCCCCCCCTTACCCCACTGTCTAGTACTCACCTTCACAAGTTGTATAAATCTGTGTAGTGGGGTGTACCCACCTCCCCCGGGGGCCTACCCCCCCCCCCCAAACCACTCACCTTCACAAGTTGTATAAATCTGTGCAGTGTAGTGTACTCATCCTCCACTTGATTCATCATCACAACACGACCACAGCTCTTGTATCACGTGACCAGCTCTGGTAGAACACAAGAAGCAACAGTTAGCTCATCGGTCAGTTCAGAAAGTTGGACGAGGGGAGCATGGACATTCAGGGTGGAGCAAAATATAAGTGTATAGGGGACATGGACAAACGTAGGTGTAGGGGACATTGACAAAAGTAGGTGTAGGGGACAAAGGGGACATAGACAAACGTGGGTGTAGGGGACAAAGGGGACAGAGTCAAACGTGGGTGTAGGGGACAAAGGGGACATAGACAAGCGTGGGTGTAGGGGACAAAGGGGACAGAGTCAAACGTGGGTGTAGGGGACAAAGGGGACATAGACAAGCGTGGGTGTGGGGGACATAGACAAGCGTGGGTGTAGGGGACATAGACAAGCGTGGGTGTAGGGGACATAGACAAACGGGGGTGTAGGGGACATAGGGGACAGAGTCAAGCGTGGGTGTATAAAGAGACATACTCAGACAAGCACTAAGACAACTCCAGGTATGAAAGCAATAAGAATGGAAGCGAGTGACAAAATAAAACAAAGAGAGGAAACAAAAATTTAAGGATCACTGGAGAAGGAAATAAAATAACTGCCGGGATGACGTGGTCTGAGATGAGAGAGTCTGTGAATAGAACAGGTTGGAGAAGTGAATAGAACAGGTTGGAGAAGTGAATAGAACAGGTTGGAGAAGTGAATAGAACAGGTTGGAGAAGTGAATAGGACAGGTTGGAGAAGTGAATAGAACAGGTTGGAGAAGTGAATAGGACAGGTTGGAGAAGTGAATAGAACAGGTTGGAGAAGTGAATAGAACAGGTTGGAGAAGTGAATAGAACAGGTTGGAGAAGTGAATAGAACAGGTTGGAGAAGTGAATAGGACAGGTTGGAGAAGTGAATAGAACAGGTTGGAGAAGTGAATAGGACAGGTTGGAGAAGTGAATAGAACAGGTTGGAGAAGTGAATAGAACAGGTTGGAGAAGTGAATAGAACAGGTTGGAGAAGTGAATAGAACAGGTTGGAGAAGTGAATAGGACAGTTTGGAGAAGTGAATAGGACAGTTTGGAGAAGTGAATAGAACAGGTTGGAGAAGTGAATAGAACAGGTTGGAGAAGTGAATTGTCTGCCATAAAAAAGTAGACAGAAGTACGAACATGACTAATGTATGGAGAGACGATGAGTGCAGGGGGCATCCCATCACGCGAGTTTGTCTTGGCTGTCTTAGTTCTAAAGTTCAACAGAAAAAAAGCAAATTTTGTCTTAAAGTTGAAGTTTACTCAGCATAAAATATGTCGTAAACTTCAAGAATAGATGAACAGTTTTTTCCCTTATAGTTTCCAATTTGGTTATGTAAAAGGTGGGGAGAGGGAGGGAGGGGGGGGGGGGGGGAGAGCAGAGAGAGAGAGAGAGAGAGAGAGAGAGAGAGAGAGAGGGAAGGCGTGGGAGGGGTAAAAATCCGGGTTCAAACAAGAATATTTTAATTTACATAGCTACGTTAAAAACATAGACTTAGCAGCAAACATGTTAATTTTAAATGTTGGTAGTCTAGATATAAATAATGTGGGTAGTCTAAGTATAAATAATGTGGGTAGTCTATAAAAAATGTGGGTAGTCTAAGTATAAATAATGTGGGTAGTCTAAGTATAATAATGTGGGTGGTCTAAGTATAAATAATGTGGGTAGTCTATGTATAAAAACAATGTACTAACCGAAATCCATGGAACTATATTTTAAAACATTTTCTAAGCCCGCAGAATATGTAAACAAGCACAACACAGGCGGCGTAACTCCTAGTAAATTAAATTATCCCCGCTCTGTTCAACACACTCGGCCCAACGCTCGGATAAACTCGGGGCACGAGAGTTGCTCGCGCGATTAGAGTACAGCGAGGGGCTTATACTCCCACTGTGGGAGCTTATACTCCCATTGATATCTTGTCTTTCGCATGGAATTCTGGGTGGACTCTACAAACTGTTTTGATAATGACTCGAGTTAATTACACATTTAATTTAATTAATGTGTAACATCACAAGTAACTAGTTGCTAAATCGAAGCTTTAAACGAAATAGTTGAAAAATCTTCGCCAAAATACATGCCGTAAATACGAGAAATACTGTAATATAATACGTTTATGTCAGACAGAGGCGTAGCGAGGGGGGGGGGGGTGCGGACCGCACCGGGTGACACCATTTAGCGGGGGTGACACCAAGGCAAAAAATAGTAAAATATATAGAGACAAATTTGAAGGGGGGGGGTGCAAATCGAAAGTTCGAGGGGGAATGCAAATCGAAAGTTCGAGGGGGGGGGGTGCAAATCGAAAATTGAAAGTTTGTCACGGGAAGAGTCCCTACGCCCCTGGGTGGTGACACCATTAAATGCCGCACCGGGTGACACCCGACCTCGCTACGCCACCGATGTCAGATCAACATTGATATGTTTGCGGTGTAACAAATTACAAGAGAGATCTAGTCAAGATATTGTACAAGGAGTGATGATGCTACATTATTTAAGGTATAAACGTTTCTTTCCAATTTAGCGACAACTACCCATATGTTAACCATTGAGTTATGACTAAAATCTTCTAATGTTGTGTGTGTTAGGTTATCGAAGATGCTAACTCTAAAAGTCCAAGGGTACGGCTAATCGACAAACGTGATTTCTCACCTCTGACGAATCCCGTCAGATTAATTAATTAACTATCCTCATCATCGTTACCGTTATCTATTAGATTCGAGGATTAAATAATTAATTAGCTTCATCGTCGTTACATCAAATTAACGTAAGACCGTCGAAATCTTCTATACCATCCCTGGCTGGGTGTAAGAATTGTTAAAAATTGTTTTTGTTTTTGTTTTAATTTTAAAATCTCTCTGTAGTGGTGATGTGGTGATGTGGGTTGTAGATAATATTTATAACAAGAGCAGTATACAGGAGGTTATAAACAGGGAGAGCCATATACTAATTTACACCACGTGACATCAATGTTACCGTGAATGATCAGTAGCGTAGCGAGGGCGGGGGGGGGGGACATATGTCCCTGGGCGCCGAGCTTAGGGGGCGCCAAAATGGGTTGGAAAAATAAATTGAAGGGTTGAGGGGGGTGCAAATTGAAAGTTTGAAGGGGGGGGTGCAAATCAAAATCTCGAGGGGGGGGGGGTGCAAATCGAAAGTTTGAGGGGGGGGGTGCAAATCGAAAAGTTTGTCCCCGGGCGCCGGGAAGGGTCGCTACGCCTCTGCGTGAATGTACACATTTCATAACATCAATCTTACCATCCGAAAATGTACACATCAATTAAGTTTAGCACCAGTAAACTACAAAACCGCTCCTCAATATAACAAAAAATCTCTCGAATAATTTCAAGCTTGGAGTTGGGCCAGGAACAACAACCCATGCTGGCTTCTTGGAAATTAATGTTAGGGAAACTTCACAACAGAGTTATGCTCTCTCGGCTTAAAGTTCTAGACTTTTAATGAAACGTTAAGATCAATGTTGTTACAAAATGCTATAATTATCTGGATTAACACCGATTTACATAGGTGTATCCACTGGATACAAATTTAGGATTACTCATGTGGATAACATCCATCGTTCAAATGTCTAAATTTATTCTGGTAAAACTACCTCTTTCAATTTTTAACATTTTTATTTTCGAACTGTGCCTTTGATTTAAATACATTTTATTTTTTTAGTAAGCTTGTTAACTCACAACAACAGCTGAAATAAACGTTTTTTAAGATAACCAAACATTACGCTAACGTTCTAGTAGGTTTCCTCTTTCTCTTTCTTATTTTTTTTTCTAAACAGCGGAGGGATTTACATCTCCTTGGTACTAGAACTACTTCTTACACGTGAAATTTTAGTCGCCGCACAAACACACCTTTATGTGGTGCGCAAACTTTAGTTTGTGTGCGCACCACATAAACGTGTGAAAGTTTACCACTAAAACTGTGCACACCACAGAAACATTTAACATGCTGAAATGTCAATAATTATGTTGTTTTGGTATGGTTGGGTGTAACCTCTGTTGTGTTTGTGATGGTTTGTTGGGTTAACTACACACGTTTTCTTATAGGTTATAAAGTAAAAGTTAGGGTTAACTAGGCTATTTTAAGTTATGTGTTAATTAATAAGGTTGAGATTTGAATAATGAACACGGAATGCCTGAGTTCATTTGTAAATGACTCGTCAGAAATAACATTTTTTTTAAAGAAAGAAGGGAGCTCCCTCGCCCTTTACTTCTCTAACCTCCCACCCCCCCCCCCCCACCCCCAAGTGAAACAGCCGACCCTGCTGATGTCAGATGGAGATGCCGTTTGTCCTGTGCCAGATTCACCAGCAGGTAATGGTCCAAAACTTGACAGGTGAGCCAGACAGGTGAGTTGGTGGAACCTTAAGAGAATAGGGATCTGTAGAGGTGGGAGGTTACCCTATAGAGGTAGGGGGTGTAGAGGTGGGAGGTTACCCTATAGAAGGTAGGGGGTGTAGAGGTGGGAGGTTACCCTATAGAAGGTAGGGGTGTAGAGGTAGGAGGGGAGGTAAGGTAGGGGTGTAGAGGTGGGAGGGGAGGTTACCCTATAGAAGGTAGGGGTGTAGAGGTGGGAGGTTACCCTATAGAAGGTAGGGGTGTATAGGTAGAAGGGGAGATTACCTTATAGAAGTAGGGGTGTAGAGGTGGGAGGGGAGGTTACCCTATAGAAGGTAGGGGTGTAGAGGTGGGAGGTTACCCTATAGAAGGTAGGGGTGTAGAGGTGGGAGGGGAGGTTACCCTATAGAAGGTAGAGGTGGGAGGGGAGGTTACCCTATAGAAGGTAGAGGTGGGAGGGGAGGTTACCCTATAGAAGGTAGAGGTGGGAGGGGAGGTTACCCTATAGAAGGTAGAGGTGGGAGGGGAGGTTACCCTATAGAAGGTAGAGGTGGGAGGGGAGGTTACCCTATAGAAGGTAGGGGTGGGAGGGGAGGTTACCCTATAGAAGGTAGAGGTGGGAGGGGAGGTTACCCTATAGAAGGTAGAGGTGGGAGGGGAGGTTACCCTAT